GGGGGGGGCGGGGGTTGCATTGTTCACCTGTTCACTGGCAGGGGGCAGTTTGTGAGGATCTGTTGTCAGCACAGTGAGGTCATCGATGATAGCCTGCAGGTGTGTGATCTCACCCAGCATTGCAATCTCTCCGTTCTGACAAACAGGACATAAACAACAAGTTTCATGTAAGGTCATGGCTGCTTCAGTCAAAGTCCAAAACTCAAACTTATGTATATATATTGAAGTGATCTGAAGGTTGGCTGGGAGGGGGAGCGGGGGGATTTGTGTTGCCAAGGCTGTTTCAGACCTTGAGTCCTTCTCTTATGACAAATTTGACATAAGGGGAGACAGTCAAGCTTAAACACAACTATATTAAAACATTTCCTACAARCCTTAGAGACCTTGTAGAGCAATTCATTCAGTGACAGTTGGACAATATACCCAAGTGAAAACTTTWAAGGCATATTTTGTGTTTTTCATGTGAAGATCTTTTKTCTTCTTCTTYTTTTTACCCTGAAGTTTTGTTTCAACTGTTTCCTTTATGCCCTCAGAATGTAGCCCAAAGTCTGATAACATGTTATGCAAGCATGAGGATTCAAGGCAGGGTTAATGGTAAATCATTGCAGTCCCTTGTTGAACACCATCCATCCATCCATCCATCCATAGTCTCCTCCAGGGCTTAAGCTTATCCCATCAGTCAAAATAGCATCATGGGTGTATTCACACCAGGCAAGTCCTTTGGTCCACTTGTTTGGTCTGGACCAAATAGCAGACTTTGATTGTTTTTTTTTTTCTTTTGGTGTGGTTTTCATTCACATTGTGCTATTTGCAAATGGACTATAATTTATAAACAAAGCCACGCAGGTGACGGTCATTGCACCCATTGGACAGAAATGACAGGACAGGCAGGACAGAGCAGAGACCCAGAAATAAAGATGGTGCTGTTAATACAACTGGCTATTAAGAATATCAAAAGCAGCTCATTCAGTGGCAGTTTTGCGATGATATACTTATAATTTTGGGATGTCTTTGTCAAATGTGAGCCGCAACTTGATGCTTCGCGTTCCCTGAGCCATAACAGCTTTTTTTTTTYTTTTTGTAGCACAGTGTTAGTGTTTGCAACTCTGAAGGTTTGCTTAGCAAAACTAGCTTGAGAAGTCCAAAAAGGCACGTTTCCTGTATTTGGTTTGGTTTGAGCCTGCAGCATTTTTTATCTTAAAGCTGAAGTTGTGAGTTTTGAGAAAACAGTGTGTTAGCCTGAAAATGTCACTCCCCTTTGCTCTCTGCTTCACCACTGCCCTGCCTCCACAGCTCGCGCTTAGGGCAGGCACGTCGCCTCACCACGACAGGCTGAAGGAAGCCGATGAAGGTGCAAAAACGTCCCCTCTCCTCCACCAGAGCCCGGCGCACTGCTTGCTTCTCCATCTCCTCCATCAGCAGGCACATGTCAGTCACATCCTGCATGGCGCTGTCCAGCTGGGGCTGCAGATCCCCTCGCCCTGGAAGACCAAAGAGATGAAATTTTGGTGATTTTTGATAAGAATCTTTTGCAAGTTATTTTTGTTCTGTTTAACCATGACTGTTCCCATACTGAATCTAACTTTATTTGGAACATAAAGACATCTATAAAACATATAAAACCTTATAAAAACCTTTTCAGGGGAAAGGTGTCAGAAAGGAGACAACGCTGACTGAGACAGAGTTTCTTCAGAGTAAAAGTGAAAGAGCGAGGCAGAAGAAGACAAATGAAAGTGGAGCAAAWAGATGTGGATGATGGAGAGTGGGTTTACACAAGTGGCTATTACTAACAAGACAAAATAAATTTAAAAAAAGCTGCTCTTTCACTGCGCTCCAAGACTAAAGTTTACATGAAAAGTTCACTCTGGTGTAAAAGACAGTAACACTACTTGCTGTCACTATCTCAGCCCCTGTCCCACATAATGCTTTACTGTTTCTTTCTGGGGTAAAAAAAAATAAATAAATTACAACAACTGTCTAATGTCACAGCACCGACAAAAGGCGTGAAATCTGTACATAAGGATGTGTAGAAAATCTGAATGTTATCTGTTAGCTACAAGGGGAAAARGGGAAAATGCAATCAATAGAAAGCAGACATGAAATAAATCTTTGTAGTGTTGCAGCATGCAAGAAAAATCAGCGGAGCTGTCGGTTCTATAAGAGACAGAATGAAAGGGAGAGCAGAGAGGAGTGGTAGCATGACAGCAGAAAGCCTGCAGTGTCACTACAAAGCTAATAACAGAAGCTGAAAATAAAGTCATGCAGGAGTCAAGGAGGAAGTTAAATTGCATCATGCATCAGCACCAAGTTCCTGTAAAGGCTGATCTTTAATCTGTCATCAGGAGACACGACCTCTGATGGAGCTTGTTTAAAAACTTTTTTTTTAGTTAAAGTGATTTAAAATGGAGGAAAAAATGTCATGAGAAGTTTTTATTTACTTTTTATTTATTTTTGCCAAGGTGCCATTACAGTTATTCCAAATAAAATAAACAAAACAAGTAACACAGTGGTTATATTTGTTTACCAGAAAATGAGCCAAGAAAAAAGAAAAGGAAAAAAAGAGACTGTTCGTCATCTAGTTATCCTCTGCTGTCATGGCACGTATAATTGAAAGGTGTGTGTGTGTGTGTGTGTGTGTGTGTGTGTGTGTGTGTGTGTGTGTGTGTGTGTGTGTGTG